TTCCACCAGCACTATTGCCACTTGCTTTTGCTAAGTCCTGGGGATAGAAAAATGGGTAGGCAGAGGCCCCTGTCCTTGAAGGACATCCCAGTCCAGGTGAGGAGACCAGCACACACACAGTCACGTAAGCAGCGCTGGGACCAGAGCAGTGCACACCCTTTGGGAAGGACACAGAGGAGAGGGTGGGATGCGGATGGGTTCTGCCCCAGGATGGGGAGCAAGGCCAGTTCAGGCTCCAGGGAACAGGTGGAATTTGAGCCTTGACGGATGATAGAGAAGTGGAGGAAGGGCATTAAGCAGATGGGGTCAAGGGTCAAGTTTCCAGCGGCTATGTCACTGGAGGAAGTGGTGGACAAATTGGATGAAAAGAGCCTCAAACTCCAGGCTGAGGAGTCTGGGCTTATCCTGTGGGAAATAGGGAGTCATGGATGGTGTGGGAGCAGGCGTGTGCCTGCCCTGAGCACCAGCAAAGGGAAAGACACAGGTAGATGCTCAGTGCAACCTTGCTGCCTGAATTATTGAAGTGTGTCTTTCTCCTGTCCTCACTAGTGTCGGAATCACCTGGGACTATTGGACGAATCCTGCCGGAAGTGGAAGGCCCTACGGCCTCTTCTCTTCTCCCCCATTTAGCCCTTCTCTGGGAGGATGGGCAAGTTATTCAGACTCTGAGAGCCTCCATTTCCTCACCTGTAACGTGGGGACGCACGCCAACCTTGCAGATTCTGAGGGTGAAATGAGAAATGTGCAGGTGAACACACAGCATAGTAGGTGATTATGGGTCTTGCTACATGTGTGGACCAGGTGGCACTGGAGTCAGAGCACAGGCTCCAGGGCCCATGCTGGAATCCCAGCCCAGGCCCTGGGATGCCCACCTCTCAGGGCTGGTGGGAGGGTTCCATTCAGGGAGCACCCGATACTTAGCAGATGCTCAGCCCTTTGTTTGCTTCTTCGTCTGCCCAGACACAAGTAGTCCTTTTCCTTTTCCCCGTCCCTTAGCTCCCTGTCGCTTGCTGTCAGCTCCTCTGCCCCTGAGCGCCTGGCACACCATAGATGTTCTGTACCCTTTGCAAAGAGCTTCCACATGCATCTTCTCCCTGGTGAATCCACTCACCCACTGTCCCATTTATAAGGGAGACAGAGTTAATCCCCACTGTGCAGGTGAGGAACTGAGACCCGGAGAGGGAAGGAAGGACACAGATGCTGTTCAAGCAGCTATGATGTGTTGGAAGCATCAACCCATTAGTTCTTCATGACATCCTGAGAGGCAGGTATTATCCTTCCCACTGCATAAATGTGGATGTTGAGGCTCAGAGAGGGGCAGTGACTTGTCCAAGGTCACACAGCGAGGAACTGGCAGAGGCTGAGGGCAAACCCAAGTCTCTCTGACTCCAAAGTCTGGGATTTAGAGCAAACATTTGCAGTGTGGAGTCGACGGATCTGTCCCCTAGGGCTGTTGAGAGGACTAAATGGGGTAATCGGTGCGAGGGTGACAAGCACCCTGCTTAAGGACCAGGAGTAGAAGTGGAATCTTGTCTACGTCCCTCTAATCGTATAGAGAACAGGGACAGAAGTCCAGGGAGGGTCACCACATGCCCAAGGTCACAGCAAGCAATCACAGAGCCCAAGCTCACTGCCCCCAGGATCACTCTTTCACAGTAAAAAGCAGGGGCCATCCCTCCCCACAGAGTCGAACTTTACCAAAGACCCTC